CGGCCGACGCGTCCGCGGGAGCGTGTGGACGCGCGTGTGCCCCGGACGCGCCCTGGGCGCTCGGCGCGCGCGCTCGAGCCTTCCCCGGGGAGCCGCGCGGGCTGGTCCCGCAGCTGCCCCGGGGCTGGCCTCGGAGGCCGCGCCGTGGCGACTGCCGCCTCCTGCCGGCTGCGGGGCCGGGAGCGGGGGCGCTGGGGTCTGGCCCGCCTCGTCTGGAGGCAGCCGGGGTCGCAACGGCCGCCCCCCGCTGACGGCCGGCGCCTTGCAGGGACTCATGTTCCGGTGCAGCGCGGCCTGCTGCGAGAACGACCAGGCCTCCATGCAGCACGTCCACCGGTGCATCGAGCGCTGCCACGCGCCCCTGGCCCAGGCGCAGGCCGTCGTCACCCAGGAGCTGGAGCGATTCCAGGTGAGGCGGGAAGCGCCGGCCGGCCGGGGCGGCGGAGGCGGGAGCCCGGCGCCCCCCTGGCGCTGCGCCAGCGGCGGCCCGAAGCGGCGGCGGCCCTCGCGCGGGGCGGGGAGTTAACGGAGCTCGTTTGCTTCTGCAAGAGAAGCCCAGGGGCATGACAAGACGCGTCCGGAGCGTCAGGAACTGCGCCCTGGTCTGGATGGGGGACCCCCGTGCCCTGGGAGTCATTCCGTCTAAGGCAGACGCGACCTTTCCTTCTCACAATGAGCGATTATTTGTTTATAGAAACATCAACTTGTGCTGCAGCAGCTCCATGCCTAGATTGGATAAGTTATTAAACTGCTAATTATCTTACAGTGCCTTCAGTATCTCACAAAGGAAACCGGACTCACCATTTTGGTGACAGCTTAATTTAAATGGAATGGATGAATCAGACACCAGAGATAGCCACTTTAACACTCTCTGGTTTACTGACTGTCCTGTGTCTTTAAGGTGGCAGATTCTAAGCCTTTCTTGTCCAGTGGTGTGAGGGGCTTTCCAAAAGTGTCCACACTTTTAAATTTTATAAATATATTTTTTGCTGATGGCATTACAAATTTGGTACGATGCTGGGGAAAATGCATTGCAAAGGAAGGTGACTGTGTAGAAAAGTAATGTGATTTGTTTTTGAAATTCTTAATGCATAGAGTTTTTAAAAGTGCGGAAACTTTCGGAAGACCCTTCATAAAAAGGATGAGTGCAGTTTATTCTCGTTTTTAGCCATGCCGGCTTCTGACCGCTGCGTATTTTTCTGCTTCAGGACCGCCTCTCCCGCTGCACCATGTACTGCAATGACAAAGCCAAGGACTCCTTGGACACGGGAGGCAAAGAACAGCAGGTCAAGCTGCAACTGGAAAACTGTGTGACCAAGTGTGTGGATGAGCACGTTCACCTCATCCCCAGTATGATGAAGAAGATGAAGGAGAGCTTGGCAGGCATTGCACAGTAGACTATCTGGGCGTATGGAAGGGCAGGAAAGGATGACGAGTTAATACTAAGATGGGTGTGCGAAATCTTGCTGGAAATACAGACAAGAGCATTTGGGTGTGTCCGCGGTGATGTTCAGCAGCATGTCCTGCTTCGTGGTGGCTCCTGATCTCACGCAGGTGCTAAGGCTGCAGCTTGTCAGAAAGAGAAAGAAATGGTTCTTTTCTTCAGGTCCCCTGGCATTCATGATGTGCATGCACAAACCCTCGCCCAACGCAACTGCCTCTCCTTACTGTGGTTCTTCTCTGAGTATTAATGGGGCAGGGGAATCTGGTACATCAGCACTTTGTTGTTTGGTGCCTCAGCAGGATGGGTTGCTGGGAGCACATCCTCTTCTGAAGCTGTCTGACAAATTTGTGCTAGTGCCCTGTAGAAGCACATTGGCCCTTCTCCGTGGTCCCCCCAGTTGTAGATTTTAGCTGTAGATTTTCATTCTTCCACATCGGAATTTTAGTAGCTGAAAGAACAGTGCCCAGACCAAATCATGCACAAATTTGCTTAGTTTATACCTTCAGGAAAATAAAGTTGTGATTTTTTTCCCCCATTGACTCAATGGCTTCAGGCCACAAGCATGAGTTTGTATTCCTGAATCCCTGCAGGTGTGGGAGAAGGACTGGAATTGTTCTAAGTGGAACTCTTCTCCTGAAATGCTTGTTTTCAAGCATTTTCACCCCCCCCCCCAATCTGCAGCCCGGGAAGAGATACCACTTGATATTGTTGAGTAAACAAAAAATGTAAGATTTAAAAGATCTTCATATATTTAGTTTTTCCTGAATGTTTGAACAGAACATCAAAGCTTGGTTGTGTTACTGGGATATATGACATTCCTCTAGGAATACTGAGGTTCCCAAACCTCCAGACCAAAATTATGTAATCTAAATCCCGTATTGATTTTCAGTCACATTTTTGAATTTGTGCCATTTTCAGAGTCAGTTTAGCACAGATACATTGGGCCTGCTTCAACTAGCTTCTGATGCTGGGTCAGCCTTCCTTTTCTTTTCAGTGCAAGTACCTTTCACAGTGGTGAGGGAGAATTTTCTAATGGCATATTGTGTGGCAGCTCAACCAGCTGAGAAGAATCATTTCATGCTTTTCCTGACTGGTTATAGGGGATAAGTAAAAAGACCAGACAATAGAAAAGCAGGACATGGATTGTATTGTACCGAGGGATGAAAGTGCTTCTGACTGAGTTGTTCTGCATTCCAGAGAGTGTCTCTGGTTTTTGCCAAAAACTCCACTGCAAACCTAAATACTGTATGGATTTGCAGAAACAAACATATTTCTGGGCAAAGAACAGAATTAATTGCTGACTTGTGCAGCAGGGGGTTTTTTCGCAGGTGAGATACTCAAATTCCATTATTTGGGTTGCATGGACAATAAGTAAAATGGAGACCCCCCAATCTGAGAAACAGCAAACATTAAGCAGCAGTTATAGTGAATCTGAATGTATTTATTCCAACAGACAAGACCTTTGGGTGCTGCAGAAATGCCACCACATGAATTAACAAAGTCTCTTCCGATTTTCCCATCCCTTTCTTTAAACTGTGAATTGTTTTCTAGGGGTTTAATTAAAATATTTTTTAAAAAATTAAAACTGTACCACAGGATTTCTAAGTGTGTTGGGATGCGTTTTATTGTTGTGACAGTCTGCATATTCCTATAAAAAAGTCCCAGATGCTCTTGTGGGAAAGCAGGACTACTGTTCTCTGTAGTGGACCAACAGATGGGAATTCCTGCATAGGAACAATGTCTGTATACCGAAGGTCCAGATCTGAGCCCTGGCAGGTACAAAGATTGCCTGGAAATTAGAAGAGCCACTGCAGCTAGTTCAGAGCTGACAGTCCTGGCCTAGATGGGCCAGGGCGGAATGGAGATTACCAGGGCAGGGCTGTAAATGGGTTTATTTTTTGCCAGCCTCCAGTTGGACTATCTTTGGAATGCATTGGATAGGAAATCTTGAGGAAGGCTGAGTAGAACAAGGACTGTAGTGGCAGGGCAGCGTAGTGGTTGAGAGCGTGAGTCTGGGACTAGGGCGATCTGGGTTCTAGTCATGGAGCCAAGAGGGGGATGTTGGGCCGCAGCATCTTTGCCCAGCTTATCTCAGGGCAGTTGCTATGGATGAGGAGAGCAGGAGGACGAGAATGATAGGAGTTCTTTAAAAGGGAAAAGGCAGGATGTACATCTAAAATATGATAATTAAAATGGGTATGAGAAAAACGAATCCACTCCTACACTTCTGAGGCGATGCACAGCGATTGCTATGAGGCTGTCCTCTTCCCAGTCCCCAAGTAAGGACTGGTTGGGCGATGCTCTTTGAGCCTTTGCTCTGGTGGGGATGGCCCCATCTTGGCTCTCTGTCCTGCAGCCACCTTCACAGGCCTCGCAGTTCCAATGTCACCTCCCGGGCAGCTGCCTGCCTGGCAGCAACAGCTAAGCGAGGCAGCATGGCATAGTGGTTAGGGCTGTGGGCCTGGGAGAAAGGTGATCTGGTCCCCGCTCGGCTCAGCCTTGCAGCCAGCTTTGGGGTGGGGGGGGGGGAGCTTTGCGCCAGGCACAGACTCAGTCCAGCCTACCTCACAGGGTTGTTGTTCATTCTTTATTCGCGTCAGAAGCATCACAGCTAAGGCATAATCTGGAGTGGTGGTTGTGGGGATAACATGGAGAGCAGGAGGGGAATGATGGAAGCCGCTTTGAGTTTTTAAGGAAAAGAAAAAAAAAGGTGAGATGCCAATCAAAGAACTCAATAAACTGCCTACCCGAGAAGAGCCACCGCGACCGTCGCGGCCCCGCCCCCTGCGGCCGCGCGCCGGGATCGCGTCATCGGCGCGGTGACGTCACGACGCGAGCGCGGCTGCCGGGAGAGCAACGCGGGCTGGCCCATCCACTGGCGGGAGGAGCGGCCGTGAGGAGGCACCATGAGCAAAGCGCACCCGCCGGAGCTGAAAAAGTGAGCGGGAGCGCGCGCGGGGAGCGTGGTCGACGGCGGGGCTCTGGAGGGCGGCCGCGGCGGTGCGTGGGTGCCTCGGGCCGGCCGACCGGCCGTCTGTCTGTCTGTCTGTCTGCATCAGCCGCTCTGCGGCGGGCGGGCGGGCGGTCCGCGCTTGGGCCTGCTCTCTCCCGGCATGCACCGCGCGGCGCCTTCTTCCCTAGAGCTTGGACAGGCAGAGCAGCGCCGCGCACTCAGAGTGCGCTGCTGGGCCTTTCCCTCCGCCCCTCCCTGCTCCGCGCACGTTGCGTCGGCCAGGGCCGTGTGCGGCGCGTGCGGGTCTCCCTCCGAGGAGCTCCTGTGGGCCAAGGCGAAACCACGAAGGGATCGGGTCGCGCAGACGCGGTTGACGCCGCGGTCCCTTGCCCGGCCGCGCGCAGGCTTCCCTTGCAGTCTGGGCGACGCAGGCGCTTGCCGGGAAACGTGCCCTTTATCTGTCGAAGCGCGTCTGATTCTCACGCTTGAATTTGAAAGGCTAAGGATGCCTGAACTGGAGTCCCACCCTGGACCCCAGGCCTTGGTGAAGACTTGCAGCCCTGATTAGGATTCCAAGAAGCTTCTGCTGTGGGGGTGGGGGAGTGTGTTTCCCTGGCAGCATTTCCTGAACTTAACTTGCTTAGGGACGCATCCGTTCTCATTCAAGGTCTAGTGCCTGGAAAGGCTCGGCCTTTTCTGGGGACAGGAAATTTTGCTGTGACTTTGCATGGGGAATTGGAGGAGCAGAAATCCCTGGGTCTTTCAAAATTGCCTGCCCCTAAGTAAGATGGGTTTAGAGGAGGCAGGGCCATGGGCAGCTGTGTAGGGCAGCCCGAGGAAGCAAACTGTTGTGTGAAATTGTTGATCAAGTTTCTTGCCTACCCTAACAGTGTAATGTTGTAAGATTTGCTTGGGACCAAGTACATACATAGGTCAGGAATCATCTAATTAGCGTGAACTCATTTGAATGAGTTCACATCTCCAGGGCCTGATGAACTCCGTCCCAGAGAAAGTAAGATGCTGGTGGAAGAACTCTCAGAAACCTAGAACTGTCTTGGAGAAACTATGGAGGACAGGGGAAGTGCCAGATGATGGAGAACAGCTACTGTTGTTCCCATCTTCAAGAAAGGAAAGAAGCTGGGAACAACATACCAGTTGGTCAGACACTGAGGCCCAGGAAAATTCTGGATCAGAATAAAGCAGTCGATCTGGAAAACAGTGCAGTGATTCCTAGAAGCCAACATGGATTTCTCTAGAACAAATATTTCTCTAGAACAAATCTTGCCAGACTAATCTGATTTCATTTTTTTTTTTTTGAATGAGTAAACTCCCTGGTGGATTGTGGGAAAGTGGACACAATCTAGATTGACTTCAGCAATGCTTTTGACAGAGTGGCCCATGATATCCTGATTAGCAAGCTAGCTCAAAAAAGGCTAAATGGAGCAATGCTCAGGTTAGCGAATGACGAAACAAGTGGGGTACCACAGGGCTCGGTGCTCTTCCACATTTTTATTCCTTCACATCCAATGATTGGATGAGGAAGTGCAGGGAATGGTTAACACATATGCAGATAACACACAACTGGCTGATATAGTCAATACCCTGGAAGACAGAAATACAGTTCAGGGTGATCTTAATAGGTTTGAGCACTGGACTGAAAACAGCAGAATGAAATTTAATAGGGACAAATTCCAAGTTCTGCCCCTAGGGAAAAGACATCAAATGCACTCAAGAAGCAACTGGGCAGACATCTGAGAGGGAAGGTTTAACTTGGGAGTCCTGCATTGAGTGGGGGTGGGATTAGACCCAGTGGCCCTCTTGGCTCTTTCCAACTCTACTATGATTCAAAGATTCATTGTTAATCACTCTTTTCTGTTTAATTTACAGATTTATGGACAAGAAGCTATCATGTAAGTGAAGTGGCTATTTTGCTTCTATTCCGTATGGGAAGGAAAATTTCACTGGGAATCTGCAGTTTGCCTCTTGGCTTCTTGCTTTGTACAAACAATACCATAGATTTAATCAGTCTTGTAAATAAGCCCACAAAAGTTGCTAGCCTCCAAAACATCCTGCTAGAAGAGATTGTAAACAGGAGCATTATAATGTTATGCGTCCAGAAGGTCAGCCCTGGTTATCAACAGAAACCACAGTAAATTGGATTTATTCTATCTATACTTGTATTCATATGGCCTGCCTCATACTAAAGATGCAAATTTGTGGCTGTATACAATTCATCTGCATAGCCCATTTTTATGCTCGACCTGACCAAAACCACCCATTTTCAACTTTCCTTCTTGAATCCATCTTTAGATGCTTTACTAGTCTTATATTTTTGCATTGAGCAGGACTGTAGTGCTTCAGAAATAACCTGGTGGTGGAACTGATCTGCTTCCTGCTATAAAGCTTGGTGGTCCATCTTATCTCCCTCTTCCCCAGTGGGGAAAGGCGAGGCTTCCCGGCTGCAGATGGACAAACTGCAGCATTAGCAATAACTGTGGAGTTCCTGTAGGGAAATGGCAGGCCATTTTTCTTTTCCTGTCCCTAAATATCCCAACTTTAGTGACCATCCAAATCTCTACCTGTCAGTCAGTCCCTCTTGTCTGGCTATTTTTATTTCCACCTACAAGCAAGGGAACAAATAAGGAGCGGAAAAGCTGATGGCAACAACAGGAAGCAGTACTTGGGAGCTGCTGGAGATGGCAGCAGACACCCTACCCTGCTCCTGTAAGCCAGCTGTCCCAGGCTTGCTTGTCTCTGCGCCCCATGATCTCCAGTCTGCCATATCTCCACCAATTCTTCCCCTCACCCCCAGCAAACTAAGTTATGAGTTTTAGAAAACATAGCAGAGGAGAACTCTGGGATCAAAGACCTTACTAAATTTAGTCTGCTCTGTGGGAAATGTATTGCTCTTTTTTCACATGCTGCGTGGAGCATTTAGGAATTTTCATCTGAATAGCATCCACAGAAATAACAAGTGCCATTCAACTTTGTATAAGCCCAGCGCCTTAGATCGGCCAGTATATTGCGCTTAGGTGTGGCTTCATGTCCTCTTGCAGAGGTTGCTAACCACCCACTCTCACTTGGTTTGCTCATTGCTACAGAAGATGGTTATGCAAATCTGACTGGCGTGTGCAGGGTGTTAACAAGCCGCCGTGGCTTCCTGGCAATCCTGTGATTGTGGGAACCCATCTATATATTTGGCAGTGGTGGTGGAGATGCTTCAAAGAGCAGAGCAGAGCAAGGGCCAGCACCTCCTGCCCACTGAAGGCAGCTTCATTCGCTTACAAGAAGGGCAAGTGAATGAAAGCAGTTTATTCCGCAGGATTTTGCAGATTTCAGGTGTGAATTCCCGGCTGGAGTCTATGAGTGATGCAAAAAGGCTACCTGCCTATGTCTGTTATTTCCATAAATGTTGCTGAAGGCTTATCAGTAGAACTTTCTGTCAAGATTCAGAGCAGGTGGACTAAGTGGCTGTTCCTCCTCCTAGTGAAATTAAATGGTGGCCGGCATGTCCAGGGGATATTAAGAGGATTCGACCCATTCATGAATCTCGTAATAGATGAGTGTGTGGAAATGGCACCGGGGGGACAACAGAACAACATCGGGATGGTGGTAAGCAGAGATTCATTCTGACCTTATAAGCTGTTCAAAATACATTTGCTCATGCTAGAATGGGAATGCTGAGCTAATGTAATATGCAGTGTAATGTCTTTTAGTAAAACTTAATACAGTGGTACCTCAGCCCACGAATGCCTCAGTTCATGGCCAAATTGGGTCATGAACAGAAATTTCAGGAAAAAATTGCCTCAGGTCGTGAACTCCGCCTCGGGTGACGATTGCAATCGCCCCTGTGTTCCCTGCACGAGCACGATTGTGCTGGGGGGGGGGGGAGATGGCCGTGATCGTGCTCATGCAGAGAACACGGGTGCAATCGTGGTCATGCCGAGGGGGAGGGGATGGCCATGACCTTTGTTGTTCTTTGTCATTTTGCTTCAGATTTTTGTAATTAAAAAAAAGTTAGAGCAAATTAACCTTATTTACATTGAACCTTATGGGGAAATTTGACTTGGCTCCTCACGACCAATTTGGGTCACAACCAGAGTCGTGGGACGGATTAAGTTCGTGAGCCAAGGTACTACTGTACTTCAAGCTCATTATCTCCTGTCTTAAAGTGCTTTCTGGAGTAACATCTTGTGTTCATTTACAAGATTGAAAAAAGATGAATTGTTTCTATCAGTGGCTTAGTTGTCCAGAACATTCAGGCTTCCCTTCCTAATTCTGGGTCTGGCCTAGAGTTGAGTGCCTTGTTTTCAATGCTTGGTAATCCCACAGAGAATATGGTGAACTTAAAGCTCCCTTTGCTGATCTAGTTCTTTAGGATGGTACATCCAAAAGTTGCAAAACATGACAGAATGGGTGGGTTTACCTGAACATCCTAAACTCAGGAATTTTAACTGTGCCCAGTAGCTAATATTCCTAAATTGCCTGTCCATTTGTGAGAGGAATTAGACACATTTGCGCTCTTTTGTCTCTTTTCAGTCTGAATAATTTTGGCTACTGGGCAGTATAGAAATATAAGAGATGTCTAACCAAGAGTCTTTTGGATCTTTGTCAACATTTTTTGCTTAAACTGGAGTCGCCCAAAGCATTTTCCTGAACCACAATGTTAAGAGGGACTGAGTGAGGCCAGAATAACAAGGAAACAGTTAATTTTGAAACCACAGGTGCTTGTATTTGTTTGAAGCCTTCTAAAGGAAATTGTATTCTCGCATTCACATAACATCCTAAGTGTCTTATCCAGTCTCCTTGGACAGGTAAAATCTTGAGCATCACTTGTAGGTTAAGGTAGTATTTTAATTTTTAAAACCCTGAAATGACTTGGTGTCAGGTTGCATGAAGGCCCACTTTCTTCCACGCAACCTGGCCAAACTGCTGGCATCTTCTGTTGCAATATGTGGCCTTTTTCAGTGTTCCCCTCCCATTGCATTCATTTGAGCAGGGTTACATGAGAACAGGAATGCTCTGGCAGAGATACTGCCTCCTTAGGGAATCTTACCTGGCATACAGTCTGTCCTTGTTGAGACCAGAGACACAGACGGTCCTCTTGAGGTGCCCTTCTAACCCTTTTTGACTAAATTCTCATTTTAAAAATTCTTGTGGTTTCATTTATGCTAATTGCACCGAAAAGCAGGATAGTTTTAAAAGCGAAACAGCTAAGCTCCGAGCTGGCATGACTGTCTGCAGTTGATCTCTCTGGCAGTTGTGTAAATAGGCTATTTTGTAAGACAACCCTCCCCACTTTGGGTAGTAACTGATTCCCATTTAACTTCAGTCTTTTGATTTATAGGTAATACGAGGAAACAGCATCATTATGCTAGAAGCCTTGGAACGAGTGTAAATGAACCAGCGTCCTTCTACAGTGCAAACATGTTTTTGTATTCTTTTGGATTCTACATGAACTGTGCATCGTTTACGTATTTTTTGTAATAAATAGTTAAAATTGAACCAGCGTACTTTACTCACTGGTTTAAATGTTAATTGGTAGGGGATTCTCCGTGTAGAGTTTCCCATGAACCAATGCAAGTATAACCAGGAGAATGTCCACACCTGCTACTTCTTCCTTGGGACACTTCCTTAAACTAGCACTGTTCACCCTTTTTAGATCTGGAAGAGGAACAAGCAGCCTGTTGCCTTCTAGATGTTTGGACTATATTTTCCATAATCTTTAGCCAATGTGGTCAGGGATTATGGGAGTGGTAGTCAAAAAGATTTGGAAGACATCATGTCAATTCTGCTGCTAGAACAAATGTGATGAACCCGAGTATTTTCCTTTTTACTTTCCACTAAGTACAGTGGAAAGGGTTTCCCTTTCCACTTTAATAACAAAATATTAGTATGCATAGGGGCAATATGTTCTCTCACTAGGCAAGCTACTATGCCTTATTTTGCCTAATCTACTAATAGTAGACAGATGAAGTAGTATTGTTTGAAGTTCACAGAATTAGATAAACTGAAGCTCACAGAACTAGATAAACTGTAGTAGATGTATTTGAGGTTTTTTTCATACTACTTTTAGGCTTAAAGTGCCTTAAATCTAAGTACAGTTCACTTAATTTCACTAGGAACAGTTGTTTCTTCTGGCGCACGGCTGCCTATTGAATAGCCCCCCTGCATCAGTGGTAATTTACAAATAAACAGTACATTACACAAAGCTGTCAAACAGTGGACTAAATTTTATAGTTTAGTTTAAGCCGTACCCGAGCAAAATAAATCTGTCTACAGTAAAAAATATTTTGTCAACTTCTGTTGTCACAGTATATAGGCTAGAAAGTTTGTAAGCAAGATCCACAATTATGAACAATACTGTCCATGTAATTTAGTGCTTTTTTTTTTTAAGTAGTGAAGACTTCCTGTTAGTGCAATGCTCCTGGCTGTCTTAAGCATCAGGTGAAATGAAGGCATGTAACAATTTCAGTCAATCTCACCAACTTGACAGATACTGCTTGTGAATCCCTATTTCCTCTTCTGAGCAATGGGAATTAACCGGCATGGCACCACACATCAGCTCTCGCCATTCCACTCTCCTGTGCCAGGCTGCATCTGTTCCTACACTTTTCCTTCATGCTCTTCATACTAAAGCACTCCCAGTAGGAGCTGCGTCACGTGGCCAAGCAGATGTAAATACCGCTCCTGCCGCCTTCGCCTGTGTGCTGTGGGACAGGCCCTTATGGGGGCTCCAACTTAAGAGCCTGCCGAAGAAGTTGGGTTTTGCCTGTCTGTCAACAGAATCAACAGAAGCTTTGTACGTAAATAGTTCAAGGCAGCTTGTACAGCTTGCATTTTATAATGACTGACATTACTTTTTCAAGTAGCCCAATTAAATACCATTCATAACTACTCAGCATTTTCTGAAGACTATTCCACACCACTGGGAGACCTTTTTCCCAACAGTGTGAATTCTAACTCAGAGCTCTGTTTTGAGCCGCTCGTGCAAGTCCTCCTGGTCGATCATTTCCTCCTCCTTGTACCACCGGTGATAAGCCAGGAGGGCCACGTTTTTGGCTGAAATGGCATTCATTTCCATGGCACTTGCCACCCACTCTATGCTGCTGAGGTAGTACAGCTGATCGCGGAGAACAACAGGTGGAATCTTTTCTGGGGGACTGTAATGTGGGTAAGCCAACCACTTCTTTGCTGCTATGGAATCATAGGATGAGAAAAGCATATTGATCTGCTGCTTGGTCAAAGGCTGGGCTGAGAATATTTTCCAGACAGGAGGGCCAGTAATTTGGTTCATCTTGTCTTGAACTGGCGAGACAATACCAATGCTATTGATAAACAACTTTGGATTGTCTGTTGTGAAGATGGCACTTAAGGAGAACTGGGAAGGATCCTGGTAGCCAAAGAAAGAAGAATTAATCTGCCCGTGGACTAAGGTCGTCACAATATGTTCATAGGGGCTAGAGAAATCGGGAATGGGTGGGTTGAAGTTGCGGAAGGTGAGGTTAGCAATTTTGCGGTGCAAGGGCGTAGCAATCAACACAATGTCGTACAGTTCTGATGTTATCCCAGCGGTGGAACTGTAGGTGATTTCATATTGCTTCAAAGTTTCTCCTTTAAAACAAAAGTGTTTTTCAGAAAGAAGTGAGCTTGGCACAGCCCTGCATCACACTAACCATCCCCTGTGCTCCATGTTCTTGATGATCTGTACATTTCTCATTCCCCACTTTCTTCTGTGTGGCTACTCTGACAAGCAGCCTTCTCTCAGACCATTTGATGCCACAAAGCTGTGTGGCGGGACACAACCGGCAACCTCCCAGGAGACAACCCAGCAGGCTGAGAGTCCTGCTGTTTGTGACAAAAGCCACACCGCATTTGAAGGGGAAGCGGCAAAGGCGCCCCTTTTCAGGTGCTCCACACACCTCCAGCTGCTTTTGATTGGACGGCCCCTGGCAGAGGACCTCATCCCAGCACTTTGCTATGTGGGTGGGAAATGCAGGAGGTGCCGATTTCCCCATGGAAGAGAAGGCGGGAACGGCTGGCTGGAACTGGGAGGACAGTGAGGCTTTGAACCCGTGTTTTCCCATTTCTCAACCAGCACTAACGGCATTTGGGGTCCACAGCTTTCAGGTGGTTTGAGCTTTGCTTAGAGTTAATACCACACTCCAAAATTTTAAATTCCCAGTGCTGCTTGGTATTGGCAAAAAAATCTCACCACCTGCTGAAGGTTTTAGTAACAAAGCACGCTCCCTCAGAAACTCTTCCTTCTGCATAGCTGCTTGTTCGCTACGCCCCTTAGGCACTCCTGCTTTCTTTCCTCAGCTCGACCTCCCTTGGCTAACATTCTAGTTGAATGAGCTTTTTCCTGCACCCCAAGAAGGAGAATGAAGGCTTCCTCACCTGTGCGGGCCTTTTGCCGTGTTTTCTCCTCTAGAGAGGTAACTGTGCCAGGAATCAGTTGGGCCTTAGAAGCCTGAAGAAGGCCACTGCAGACGAGTTGGTTGCCACCTGCTACTGCCCAGAGTCCAGAATCTGCACCTGCCAGAGATACCGCACCTGACAGAGAAGGAGGGAAAAGGAAAGTCGGGAAGTCCAAGGAAAGGAAAGTGCCCAGTCCAGACAAATTTGCGGAACGGCCATGAAGGGAAAAAGCACAGGAAAAGCTGTGTCATCAAATCAAAATAACTATGACCGAAATTACATGAGGCGGCTGATTCTCTAGCATATTTGGACCTTCTATCCCTGACCCATGTTTTGCCCATATCTGTAACATTTTGTGTTTATAAAAAATTGTAACCTACCCTTCAGGATATGGGAACTGCAGGCTTAGGGTGTTACCAGATTAGCCTCTCCTGCTTTATTCAATAGAATGGGGGCACTCCTGTGTCCCCACAGTTCCCCTCATGCTGTGGAGGGTTGAAAGGCCCTCTGGAGCACATGTAGAGGGTGCTCAGGTAGGAGGAAAATGCCACTGACCTACGAAGCCGTTGATGCTCGTGCTTTGTCCGTAGTTGACTCGCATGACTGGAGTCACCATCTCATTGATGAACTTTTGGGAGAAGCCGGCATTCTGCATGGACTCATCGATGGTTTGGTTCAGCATCCGAACGAAGCCAGTCCCTCCGAGGGCGTGAAGCAAAACCTCGTTGCTGCTGAAGGCATAGTCATGGGACTGATACCGATAGATCCTTTATCCAAAAGGGGAGGAAGCAGTAAGAAATGGGAACCTTGCAGGTATTCCAAAAGAAAGAAAACTGAGTGACTTGTCCTGTTTTTGAGAAGATGACTGATACTGTTCTTTTGGGCAGTTTTAACATGTGCACTTGTGTGTTTTAACTGAAAAGTAATTCATCTTTGGTGTTGAGCCCTCCTGCTTAGTGTCCTAATAGACCCTAGCTCTTACAAATACTCTTTGATTTTAAGGTCATGCATCACCGTGGTAACTAAAAATACACATTCCATGTTGCCTTCCCACACTTCTAAATACTGCTTCCGGTACCCAGATGCAACAGGGGCAGGATGGCCTTTTCCCCTTGTAGCTGCATGTAAATAGCAAACAGGGCCAGAGAGATCCTTGGAGTTCTGAGCTGCAAGAGCTGCTTGCAGCAGGTTAAGGGCAAACGAGCTAATCGCCCGGAGGCGGGCAATGCCTCATCTGTAACACGCAATGGCATGTTGTCCTTGCTCACTACTGCACCAGCTTCTTCCGTCTGGGCTCCACGACCAGCCACCTACTGTTCAACCTGGACTCAGTTGTTCCACAAGCGGCTTCTTCTGTGTGCCTCTCCAGTGCAGGCCACCCTGCAGAGATTGCATTGCTGTCTTTCTACTGCCACCTGGCTAATGGGGTCCACAAGAAATCTTGTACAATTAAAAGTGTTGTTCCCCTCTGAAGACCCTAAATGGCTTGGGCCAGGATGACTAAAGAGCACCTTCTGATTGCCCTCTGAGACTCTGAAGTCACTTTAGGGTTTAGCTTTTATTGTGATTTATACAGAGCTCCTGTATTCCTAGATAGAGCTCCTATATTCTTATTTCTTTGCGGTTTTGAACTATATTTTATCCTTAGCTGTTTCATAATTTGCTCAAGGAACATCCATTGGTGGCCTGATTAAAAAGTATCAGACAGATATATGAATGCTGTCTCATTCGATGACACTTTAAAAAATCTTGGTATCTAGTAAAACTGGGGGTTTCTCCCGCAGAAGGACATTAAAGCTGTCTGAGTGTGAGGGTCCAGCCTGGCCTGGTGTGGGCGTCCGTTACCTCATAAACTTGTCCATGATATCTTCCACCCACATGTGCATTCGTATGGCATTCAGTCCGTAATTCCAGATGAGCTTGAAGAAATTCCAAATGTACCAGCTGCTCTCCTCAAAGACAAACTCCTCTCCATTGTAAATGCCCATCAGTCCACCTTGAGGGAGAACGGCAGAAAGACCTGCAGATTTCAAAGAGGCGATGAGCTGACAAAAGGTTGGTGGCGGGGGCGACAAAGACCCCCTGGCTTTTCCTAGAGAGAGATCTAAAGAAAAGGTCAAAACTGGACTTGGTATTGGTGTGAGGAATGAGGGCTGGGTATCACTTTGAGTCCATGTATTCTTGTATTCAAACTGGTCAGATTGATTGATTGATTTTTAGGAAATTTATAGGCTATCCATTACTGTCGTCTCTGGATGACTTACAATATATTATTAATCCTAAACAAAATAAATTGGCTACACCACGAATGAGATTCCATACTTTTAGATCAGTTCTGATTTTCAGCAATTATTATTACATTTCATTTCTGTACAGCCCATAACCAAACTTCTCAGGGTGGGTCACGACATTTTAAGTCACCCATCCAGATTTCAACCAGGCCTGACCCTGCTTGGCTTCCAAGACTGGACAGGATGGGAGTTCAGCTAACCTCTTGGAAAACTGCAGACTTAATAGCAATTGTTCTGGAAAGGTTATCTTGTGGGAAGTACTTTATTTCCTGAGGTGTGGCAACTGCTGAAATTTTAATGTTCCACAGTCATCTAAGTGCACAGCTTATTCCACGCTTTGCCATCCATTTAGAGTAAACTCTGGGCTACATATTGAATAAACATCATCAACAAGCAGGAGCTGCTTCCCAGAGGACTCTGCCACCTAAATGTCAACTGCAGGGTGAGCACAAGTCCAGCAACCGAGGCAGCAGTGCCAGCGAGCGAGCCACGAAGTGTGCGCACGGGGGAGAGGCGGTGCCCCTTCCGCTCCCGCTGAGATGTTGCTCCCTGTGGATGAAACCGAACCAACCTTCTAGAGCACAACCAATGGGGAGGAATCTGCTTTTTGAACAAGAAGGCAGCCATACCTAGCTCTTTGACAAAATGCTTCATGTGCAGATTCAGGGGGTGGATGATGGAACCTCCTCCTTCGTAGTACCTTCCTTCCAAGTTGATAGAAGTCAAACGCCCGCCGACCTTTTCTCTTTCAAAGATATCAATGTGGATGTCTTTACCAAACTTCTGACGCAGAAAATAGGCTGCAGATGTCCCTCCAATGCCGGCTCCGATCACACCTGAAATAATGTTTGTGATCCCATCTGTAATGCCTTTCCGATGAACTCAGAACAGCACCATCAGAAAGCTGCCTTGTCTCAGGTCAAATCCTTGTCAGTTTTGTCTAGACGGCCATCTCCGGGGTTGCGGCAGGGAGGGGCCTCCCAGGACCAGCTGCTCCAGCTGTGTGGAAGTCCCAGGACTTCCCATGCCGCCAGCCTCCGGCCAGCTCTTGGACTCTCACACCTGCACAGCCAACTAGGTGACTGTCAGAGGCACGCCCGGGCCTCATCCCTGCCTCTCGCCACCTTCTTCCACACCCCCCTTTAATCTGGTCAGCGCCCACCCCAACGGAAAAACACACTCCCCATAAGGGATTCTGTGGGCAACAGATTTATCTGCTGCTGGACTGGCTGCGACCGATCAGCGTTCATGGGTTCAATCCTCTGAGGAGGTGGGCCAGCCCAAGTGAAGGCAGCTTAACTGAGGCTGCCCGGCCCATAGCGAGTCCACAGGAAGCGGTGCCCCTTTCGGCATGCCTGCTGGGGAGACGTGCCTACTCCTCAGCGCAGAGCTTGCTTTCTGGTACGCTGCCTTCTTCTCTAGGGAGCCCAATGATCTTCCTCTCCCCTTTTATTCACAGGACACCCTTGTGAGGTAGGCTAGGCTGAGTCCAGGAGCAGACTCCGCTTCATGGCCAAGCAGGGAATAGCGCACCGTTCCGGCCTGGACCCATTTCACCGGCTGCATTCCGCCCAACAACAAGCCATGCCGGAGGTGGCTTGTTGTGATGTGTGATCTCAGCAAGCGGGGCACACTCCGTTGCTGTGAATCCCGACAGAGACCCACCAAGTTCCTGTAGGGTTTCACATATCCCCCTTGTTGTGGCTATTTGTGAATTCAGCTGCAATGATTTTTCTGCAGCTTTCCCTGCTTCTGCTGGTGAGTTTGGCAACTCTGCCCTGTTATTTAGCACCGCCCTAATAGTGTGCAAAGTGCTGTCAGCACTTCCTGGGCCAGAGTGCTGCTCCCACCATATTTATTTTAGTCTCGTCTTCCATTCTTTGCAACTGAAATGAAAAGCCACGAGAACGCACATCCGGGCACCCAGGGCATGCTCCTGCACTGGACAGCACATGCCACTGTGCTCAATGGGGTCACCTGACTCATTCCCAGCCAAAAAACCTGTAGAAATGGCATCACGGTTGTGCTGAAATTTGAATGCGCTGGGCAGGGCTTGTCCCAGCACATGATGGCAGGGAGAAGGAAACTGCTATGCCCAGGGCAGCTCTGGGGCCTTCTTGCAGAATCTGCCCTAATCCTGCACCCCAGTCCAGCACCCCAAATTCCAGGCCTACTGTGGAGCTCTGTGCATCTCAGGGAGGGTTCACCCCAGCACGAGATTTAAAAATGTACTGCGAAGGAATCAGCCCTTTATACTCTCGAAGCAAAAGCAGGAAGGGCTCTGATGGGCCTGCTAATTTGAAACACAAGTCCAAGTGGACTCAGCGGCCTGAAGATGGTGAGGTCAACCCGCAGCCCATGAACACAGTGCGGTTTACTTCTGAGTAAGCCTACACAGAGCTGGGCGGGGTGAAGGAAAGGGTAGGAACAGGGCGCGCCTCCTCCCCCCACTGGCCCCACTTGCGCTCCGGGGCATGTGCAGAACGCCCCGGCCCTCCCCCGACCCTCCCCGTCGAGGGGGCCCCGTGCTGGACGCTCCGCGCAAGGCGGCCCGGGCGCTCCCGCGCCGCCTGCCCGCCGCCCCCCCCGCCGCCCCGGGCCCCCGTACCTATCCTGGCGGGTGGGTGGCGCAGCTCCTGCGCCCCCGGGGCGGCCGCCCGCCCCAGCGAGGCCAGCAGCAGGAGCAGCGGCAGGAGCAGGCGGCGGGCCGCGGCGGCCATGGCGGCGTGCGCGGAGGCTGCGGCCGGGAGGGGCCCGCCCCTAGGAGGGGCCGCGGCCGCGCGGTGCCGCCCCCGCGCCCGGAAGGGCCTTCTCGGGGTGGCCCCGGCTCTGCGGCGCTCTTCCCCGCGCCCGCGCCCCCGCCCGCAGCGGGGCTCCAGCGCTGACTGGCCGGCCCCACCGAGCCCAGCCTCCGGGGCCAGCGGGGAGAGCCCGCACCTGCCTGGCGCCCGGCCTCCGGCTCCGCCCAGGTGGCCTTCCCCAACGCGGCGCCCCGCAGAGGCGTGGGCCGCAGCTCCCGTCATCCCCAGGCAGCACGGTCCCGCTTCCTGAGCGGGACGGTCCGGAGCACCTGGGCGGCATCAGATGCAGGGAGCCCCGGAGGCCCCGCGGGGGCTTTCCGGGGCCGGTTTCCTTGCAGGGGCCAGCGGGGCCTGTGCGGGAGCAGCTGCCCGCCCAGCGTCGCAAGTTTATGCAGAAAAACATGAGTATGTGACTTAGACGGAGCTTTGTGCTCACTCGGGACTTTGGGAGTCAGCACAGCAGGCTGCAGATTTTAAAACCGGGACGATTATGAAACACAACGGAGCGCGTGACCGTCCTTGCGGGCCTCTTAAGGGCTGTTTCGCCGGCTGTCTCTCAACCGCGCCGCTGGTGTAGTGGTATCATGCAAGATTCCCATTCTTGCGACCCGGGTTCGATTCCCGGGCGGCGCAGCAGTTTTTTTAACATTAATCTCATCCTCCCTTCCTGGGCCTACTAAAGCGATGGTAATAACTATACCGCCAAATTACCCAGCCAGATAAATACTTAAACTGATTAAATTTTAAAATGAATGAATCACATGAAAGTGTGGCGAACTGCGCGGATTCGCTGGTGAACGTACAGCAGCACTCGGAACGCATACGCGAAGCGGGACTCTCGCGAGACTCCTCCGCGAGGGAGAGCGCGCCTCCGGCGGCCGGCGGGGGATTCGATTGGCTGAATTGGGGAAGGAGGAGCGGCGGGCTGCGCGCGCGGCCGAAAAATGCGGCGCATGCGCCCGGCGCCCTTTCCGTCGGTCGGCCCGGGCCCCTCTGCCCGCCAGCGCCATCTTAAGAGGACGAGCGGCGGGTTCCTTGTCTGTGGCGGCGACGTGCGGCCTTCCTCGCGCGTGCACTCGGCCCGCGGGTCGGCGCGGTGGATCACGCCCGGCTGGGGGGCTGACGAGGAGTTGCCGCAGCTATGGAGGACGAAATGCCCAAGACGCTGTGAGTCAGTCCGTCCGTCCGTCAGTCGGCCGGCCCGCGAGCCGGTCGGTTGTCCGGCCGGCCGGGAGGCTGAGCGGCCTATTGTGCGTGGGGGGAGGGTCCCGCCACGTCGTGCCCGCGCCCCTCCCCCGCCCGCCCGCCGCCGTTCCCCCCAGGCTGCCCCCCGAAAGACCCTCAATAAAGATGTGCCTGATGCAACCCTCTCTTTCTTCTTTGTGGGAAACCGCGGGCGAAGGGGGCGGGGAGCTTCCCGCGGAAAGCGGGCGAGCGCGGCCTTCCCCCCGCGCGGCCGCGGAGGAGGAGCCGCGATGCTTCAGTGTCCGGCGTGCCTTCCCTCCGCCGTACTGAGGGGCTCCCGGCCCGCCCCCGCTTGCCGCGCCTCGGCGGGGTGGGGTGCGGCCTGGGGGCACCTGGCGAAGCGGGAGGGAGGGCGGACCGTGCCAGCCCTAGCCGATCCGGAACAGAAAGCTAGCGCAACAGCTGGGAGGCCTGCTTCCCTTGATCACTTACCTGGTGGAATCGGTGTGCATGGCGCTTGGTGGCTGACGAGGGGGCCGCTCCCTTCCCCAGGGCTTGCGGGTATTCGGGGGAGCCTTGGAGTTGGGTGAAGGGGAATGAACAGTCCAGGTGTGTGCAGATCAGTTTGGTTACGGTGGAGTGCCCTGTGCAATTTCTTCCTGTGTGTAGCTAAACGCACTGTAAAGAACATTTTAAAAGAATATCCTCCATCTGCAGTTCGGAGCGTAGTGACCATCCTATCTCATTTGCTCTGTTTGCAGGCTAAATCTTCTCTGTTTCTCTTCTTTCTTAACCCTCTATGCTGCTGCCACACTGCAGGAGTGTGTGTGCTTCTGCTGGCCTGTGAATTGGGGGGAATGTCATATTATATAATATCTCCAGAGGTAGCCATGTTACCCTGTGGCAGCAAAAACAACACATTGGATGTATGAAGGGCACCCAAATTCACAGGGGACATAGTTCAATAATTAGTCCACTAATATTCAGCCTTTAAGATGCTTCTGTTTTTTACAATAACAGTGTGCATTCACATAATACCTTGCTTGTACATTCAGAGGGTTTTGTGTTACACTATCTGGCAGTCTCCCCTGGACTGAGCTTGAACACAGTTATCTGCCATCTGGTAACTTCTTCGTTAGGCTATAGTATCCTTGGAACTACTTTTAAGACTTCGCAGAAACATCACAGAGTCCAAAATACAGCTGTGAAGTTACTGCCATGCGCTAGCCTAAGCAAACAACTGCCACTTTTAGAATGGCTGTGCTAGCTGCCATGATGGTTGGTTCTTACCTTTTAAAGTACAGTATGGCTTGGCAGCTAGGTGTCTAAAGCCTGCAGCCTGTGTCTATACTTCAGTTAATCTTTCCAGATGCTGCTACCTCCTGAGGTGAGGTAAATTGTAGCTGTGGAAGGGAACAGTGCAGGGATGACTCCATGAGCCCTTCCTTCAGAGACATTCATCTGAAGCCCCATTTATTTTTCTTCTGTAGCTAGAAATTATTAAATATATATTCGGCACATTTTCATGAATAAAGAACAGCACAATTTTCATTCGATGTATCCTGAAAGGTAAGTATGGCTGAGAAATGATGACTTGGCCAAGTCCACACGATTTCACTTGTGGATTATGAATCTGAACCTGAGCCTCCATGATTAATTCCAACATTCCAGTCTTTACAATCTTCACAGCTGGAGTATGTGTGTGGATACAGTGGGTCTGATGTGGGGAACATGTAGCCCTCCCTTAAAACAGGCTGACTCTCCAGACAATATAGTTACACTCTGACTCTCTGGTCTGTCCTTCTGGAAATGAATTCTGAGTTGCTAAAATGGTAGACAGAAAAATCTGTGTCATGGGTGTGCTTTGGGGTTCTTTTAGTTGAATAATGGAAACAGGATGCATTTTCTTGCAGGCTATTAAGTAAATGTATTAAATTTATCATGTCTTTTTCAGTTTAAAATGTGGAAGTGGTTTACAGGTTAAAGTAACAATATACACTGGCTTGAAACAATGTGTACCACACATAAATAGTGGAGTCTAATTAGTTATTGAAGGCAGAACACAAAGGGAAAAGTTTTGGTCTGCTTTTGAAAAGGAAATAAAAATAGAACCATGGAAAATTGGAGGAAATCCAAAGAGGTCTTTCTATATAATGCAATATTTTGTATTAGCAGAGTCTCACTGAGGGTTTTTACTATTGGGTGAGAATTCATATAGGAGGAAGTATTTTTTGAGATAATTAGAACTCAGGTAAAACCATATTCGCATGTTAGGTTCATAATTAAATCATTAATGAAGTTGTTTTAAAATAGTCATAGCAGCTATTGTAAGCCATCTTGAGCCCATCAACTATTAAGCTACCACATTTTGCTTTTTATGGAGCTGTTTTTGAAGAGGCTTATGAAATACCATGTACAATGCATTACAGTCATGGATGACAGTAGTGAGACCTTTATCCTTCACTGTGATTATAGCCAGTGACCCGCTTCACATGATCATTCTGGCCCACTTTGGTGGTGTATATGCTAGGTGGTTTTGAAGTCGACAGATTGCTGGGTCATTCAAACCTGGACTGCATGGGTTGTGCACCCCGGAACAGGCCATGGAGTTATGCAAAGTTCTCTTAACTCTTGGGCAACTTACACTGCCTTGCTTTGTGTGCGCTAGGTACTGTGGCTTATTACCCCACCCTGCCTGGGTTCAGAAGACCTGATAAGCCACAGTTTGAATGCTCGAGCTGGCTGCTGGCAGGTACTGCAGCTGACAGAATTTATTTATTTATTTATTTATTTATTTAGGAAGCTTCTATGCCACCGCCCCATTCACCGAAGCCTCGGGGCAGCTCACAATTCATGCTGGTGGCCATTTTGAATGTTCTGGGTTGTGCTTGCCCTGTCATCTGAACCCTGGGTAGCGTAGGTTCAATGAGCCACAGTGGCATGATCATGAATATCAACCTACCATGTCAACCAAAGCTGTTAAGAGGCACTTGTGTAATAACCAAGGTGGTATTATTCTTGAAAAATAATAAGAGCAAGTAAGGCAAAGAGAGCAATTGTTTATATCCAGTGTTAATCTGACTCAACACTCATGTACTTCAGTGGCTCTGTATAAGTTCATGGAGCTCTCATCATTGCAGAAGTGGTCTCTAAACCAAGGTATAACTGTCAGTCATAAAAGTATTAGTTTTTTTTTAAAAGTCTAGTTACTTGCATAATTAAAGTGTAGGGTGAAGATAGGATTTCTGGCAAAGGAATCAATTGATTGCTGCTAGTTGCTGATTGTGATCTGGTAAATATATGGGGCCTATAGGAAAGATTTCATTGAGGGATTTGAATGGAGGCTATTTAAAGATTTCACGTATAATTTGGAAACTCCCTTTGCCTTATTTGCTTTTATCATCTTTAAGAAGTAACACCACCTTGGTCATCACACACAAAGACAAGCATGAAGCATAGCCTGTCTCACAGGGGGAACAACTGTGAAACTTTTTGAAATTCTATTAGCCCTGAAAAACATGCTCTGTTGCCCTGCATAGATTTCAGGCCCACAGGTCAGGCTGATCTTTTGCCTCTGTCATTGTCTTCTTAGTGCCATGTTCCTATAAGCAAAAGTGTGTTTAATTTTAGCCAGCTTTGTGGAGGTACACTTTGTACCATGTTGTCTTAAATTTCATTAAGAAAGTCATGCCCTGATAATTTGAGATTGCTAACCCTAAATGCTTGCAATCCTTACAGGTATGTTGGAAATCTATCAAGAGATGTTACTGAAGCCCTAATTCTCCAGCTGTTCAGTCAGATTGGACCATGTAAAAACTGCAAAATGATCATGGATGTAAGTTTACCTGTACACCACCCACCCAGAGAGCATGGTTAGTTACTAGACAGTCTAAACACTTATATAGTAAACATTAGTCTTAGTTGAAAAAGAAGTTAGGGTTCTAATCCTACAGTTGCTGGAAGCATCCAGACAGCTACAGGATGCTTTGGATTCCCAGTTGCGAGGTTGGAAAGTTACTCTGACCTCATAGCTGTGGATCCTGCTCAGATCTGTGCCCACTCCTCACAGCGAGCATGGAAAGAACTGTGCCAGTGTCTTCCCTGAGGTCAGAAGAATGGCCTCCTCTGAGACTTCCAAGGCCATTCTGAGGGGTGGGAAGAAAAAGATTACTGGTGCTGGTAAAGTCTTTATCCTGGCAGTTCTACAGCCTCCTTCCCTCCAGTTCGAAGGCACTGCACTTTGATGGCAGATTGTAACTTCCATTCTCCTCCCCGCCAGGCTCTGAGTTCAGAAGGTTGTACAGATCCTCATAGAATTGTGTCCTGAGCCCCCATTGGTTCATGACTGGGGTCTTGGGGACTGGAATTAGACAACTGTGGTTAAATTGAGTAATATGGTAAAAGCTAGAGAAGGGGGAATTAATAAAAGATCAGTTTATAGAAAAATGGCATCTTTTTATCTTTTGATGGAATGAAAATGCTTTTAATCCTTTTCTTTCTTGGGGATGATTTACTGTCGGTGTTTTGTTTAAAACTTGTTTGTTCTAAGAGACTCGGTATTGTTTTTAATTTCTGATATCCTCAATGCTAGAATTCACTCACTGTGATCAGTATTTGGTGCTGCTTTTAAGTGGGTATTTATGATATCACTATATATTATTTTTTAAAAAATAATGTTTTGTAATAATCAGTTAAATCAGATTCTAACAAAATTGGGAGGATTCAGAGTTTCATGGATTGTTCTTTCCTTTGAACATGTTGGATTGCTGTCAAACTGGGTGAAACCAAATGAGCCCCAAACTAAATGGGATTAAGAAAAAAGTAGAAGAGGCTGTCACCTTTGCTCCTCTTAAAAAAAAAAATCAGGGTGTAATTTACAAGGAATGAATGCTCTATAGGAATGTAATAAAGAAATAAAACTTACAATAATCATAGTCATAAAAAACAGTAATTATGACTGTGATATAGCAGTCTTAAAGAGAATAAAATAAATTGAACGCACAGTTTAGCCTTTGTCTTATTGTTTAAACAGACGGCTGGAAATGATCCGTACTGTTTTGTGGAGTTCTATGAGCATCGTCACGCAGCTGCAGCTTTAGCAGCTATGAATGGACGGAAGATAATGGGTAAGGTAAGCTTTCAGATCTCAAGGTGAGATGGAGCAGAAGTGTGGCATTAGGTATATGGATGAATGCTACTTTTTTAAAAAAAGAAGAAAATCTAAAGGTAAACTTTTATCATGTACGTAGCAGAAATTTAATCTTAAAATTTGAGCTTTTAAGAAAGTTTGAGATAAAAGTTGCATAATGACTTCACAGAATAAAAGATCAGTGAAATGTCATCATGGCATTCTTAATTTTTCTGGGCTTGCAAATAAAATGGCTTTGCAAAGTAATAAAGCACAACCTGATGTCTTCAGTATATTGCTTAACTTTAGTAATGTAGGAGCTTTGCCATACAGACTTTAAGAATAAATTAGTTATTTTTCCATCTATAAGACGCCCCCATGTATAGGATGCCCCCCACTTTTCTTACCCAAAGTTCAGAAATCAATATTTTAAACACTAAATAGAAGACATTTTTATTTAGTGATTTGGCAACATTTGCATACCAGTACTATGATCTTATGCATCACACTCAGCTCTGAGCAGATCACTTTATTCAGCCTCTGTTGCATAACTGGTTTCTTCTTCATCACTTTAGGTTTGGTTGACACATATAAGCCACTCTGGTGCTGCTCCAAAATCCAAGTCTTAAGCCTCTGCTCCAAGTTTGGCCATTTTGCTGGTTTTCCTCTCAAGACCTCCTTCCTTTTTGGCATCATAAGGAGTTGTTCTTCCTGTTTTCTCTACTGTCTGATGATACACTCAGTGGGAGGAGGTCCAGACTGTCTCTTTGCAGCTCTAGTTCCATGCTCCTTTGCATAACTGATTACATCCAGTTTAAATTTTGCTGAGTAAGACATTTGCTTACCAGTACCGGTATTTATATTTTTGTTTTCTGACACTTTTATGGGCTCAGAACGCTCTGACATTACCGCTCCCTGTCACATCTCGGCACTGGCTACACACTCTCCACAGCATCAGCTGACGTCAGTTACATAAGGTTCATGATTGGAGGAAACCTATGAGCTTGTCTCTGCAATCGGAAGTTTCGCTCGTGAGGCTCCTTTGCAGAGATAAGGTATCGGCAGTTTTGCAGCCGCGGTTCTCCTCTCAGACCCCCTGTGTATAAGACGCCCCTCCATTTTTAGGTAAATACTTTTAAGAAAAAGTAGCGTCTTATACATGGAAAAATACGGTAATTATTTGTCAAATACAACAAAACAATTTAAATGTAACATGTCAAATACCTGTGAAATTATGTGAGGTTTGAGGGATTATGAATTAAATAAAATGGTTGCAATTTTTTTGAATATAATTCTAACCAATATAATTTATAGGAGGTCAAAGTGAACTGGGCAACAACCCCCAGCAGCCAGAAGAAAGATACCAGCAGTAAGTCCCTTTTGATTTTGAGTAATTGCTCTTTATTTGTACAAAAGTGTTTTTAATGTTAAGCAATAAGCATCATGCAAATATTTGCCCTATTATTTTGATCATTATCCTAAGATATTATTTAATGTGTTTGTGTTAATAAACTTAAGAACAAATCTAATCTTTGTCATCAGGTAGTACCGTTGTCAACACACTGCGTTCACAAGGTAATTGTATCTTCTTAAACATAAAATGAAATCTCAGGTGTATTCACTAACCGCCTGAAACTATTTGGGGGGGTTGTTCTGTTGCCACAAGATTTCTCCCTCCTCTCAAATGGATCAGGATGTGGACTGTTGCGGCCTCTTAAGCCCTTCGACTCCCCGTTAAGCTGCTACTGCGGTCAGAATGGTTTCCCTCTTCGAGGGTGAGATCGCCCGCTTCTGTCAAGGCGGCACCATAAAGCTTCCTTGTGGTGTAATGGTTGCGATTTCAATTGGAACCTTTTCCCTTCTGCTGTTGGGCAACCCAGTGTGTTGCTTCTCTACTTGTCTGGCCTTAGAACTTTTTAAATGTTGGGGGCAGATTTAACCAGACTTTTCCCAAGGTGGAGTGATAAAGTACCAGGTGTGCATTGAAACCAGTTAGAGGTGGTGAGAATTAAAATGGGCTTTATGTGTCTGTGAAGGAAGTCCTTAAGTATGAGAACTTTGTATCATCCGTTCTTATGTAAATGGCGCTAACATAAATTGTGAAGGGATTACTGTTTCCATTCTGTTGCCTTCAGTCTTAGTTCACTTGCTCATGGATTTCACATACTTTGAATTCACATGGATTCACATGGTGTAAAGGCTGGGCAACCAAAACTGTTGGCTTTTCAGAAAACTGTCAAATACTTTAACATCAAACTGTTGCAATGCAAGGTATCTTTTTGACTGTTCTTCACAAAATATCACTAAGCTTGAGCTATTGGTAATTTACATTGTCCATACCGGTCTCTGTAAAACTTACTCTATGTTGCTCACAGAGCCAGTAGACATTTAGCTCAGTGTTATGTATAAAATAAAATGCTATGTATGAAATAAGACTAAATTCTAGCATTACAAAGTAACATTGCAATGTAAAATTGTTGAATTTCAACTAAATGAACATTTCCATTCTTATGGAAAGTTAGTTTCTATTCTGAATAAATACAGATAACTTAATGAAAAGTAATTGCTAGTTTTAAGTAATGTTACACATGTACTGTAATGCCTGTTGATGGGAATGTTTTAAACAATGATGTTATTTTGTCAGTAGGTTAAAAGATTCTAGCTCTCATGTAGTTTCCTGATGTATGGAAATTGATACAAGTTTTAAAAAAAATGCCGTACCCTTTATTACCATGAGTACTCTGCAAACTTGTACATTTCTTTCTTTTTCTTGATAAGACCACTTCCATGTCTTTGTTGGAGACCTCAGCCCAGAAATTACAACCGAAGATATAAAAGCAGCTTTTGCGCCATTTGGAAGAATATCGTAAGTCATGTCTTATGACAGATAATGGGGGCAATGTAGTGTGGAACTAAATGTGGTGATTAGAATGTCAGCATTTTGAAGAATAGTTGTATATTCTGAAGAGCTGTATCTTTTAGTAGCTGTTCAGGGATTGTTGCATAGTTCATTTATTTTAGTAAATGTAGATAGCTAGCCTTTTGTTTTATATTAGGTGGTCCCTGTGATTTCCATGTTACACTGGTAATTTGTTTTTAAATCTGGGTGTTCATTTCATTCTTATTAAATTATTAGGCATTCTAGAGAGGATGTCCAAGGGTATAGCTGCTCTCTGGGTGACTTCGGCCAATGGAAAGGCATTGCATAGTCTCATAAAAGCAGCTTTAACATGGATCACATTTCATGGAAGTTATCACCTGCAAGATTTTGGCTTTTTGTGAAATGGATGCTCTATTAAATAAAATAAACTAGAAATTGGTGTTCAGTGTAGTTTCCTGCTTTGGTTGTTGTCACAGTTTATAAGGCATGTGAAAGTGTGCATAGGAGATCAGAGAAACAACCGTATTGTTTATGGAGAGAAAACTCTTAGCTCAGTGGTTGCTATTGGCAGTGATGAACAGTTGCCCAGAATGGTAACGTAATGTTTGATGTATTGTGCCAATGAAGTGTTGTGCAGTGACTCTGATATCCATCCTCATCAGTGTTTGAATAATTTTGTACAGAAGTTAATGTAGCATGTTATGAATTTATTCTTTGCTTTAGTACTTGTTACACAGACCTGCTTGAACAGAAGGAAGCTGTAGTATGTCTCTTGGGGATGTTTGTTTCTGTTTTGGCCAGGTCTTTCAGGTCCATCTTGTTCCTGTGAGCAAAGCTCTCAATCAGTTAGAAGCCAGTTTCAAATTTCCCTGAGGAAAGGGATCAAACCAAAGAGACTCTCGAGCGTTATCCCCTGGGAAAGTGTGGAAAGGGGCAAACAGCCTTACTCCTTTCCAGGACTGTTGCTAGTGCATATATTCTAGCAGAAGGGCCTTGTGACTGTCTTGACAGCCAGAACTGGTGTATGACCTCTTCTGGGCCTATTGAAGAAGAAGGAGGGGTAGGTTGTTCCAGGTTTCCCCATCAGAAGAAGTTTCCTTGATGGTACTGGCATCTGAGGAAGTTGAAGGTAGAAGCGAGAGCCTGACCGTGCACTGGGCCCCCGAAAGTTTTGCCAAGCCTCGTGGCTGCGCCGGAGTTCCTTTGAACTCTGTTTTAGTGCCGCTGGTGGCCCAAAGCACTTGCAGCTACTGCTGTGGCTCCCCTTGGTCTTAGATGTTTTCAGAGCACAGAAGCAGCTGCAGGGCTCTGACCTGTTTTGCGAGCCACTCCAAGGGAGGAAGAAAAATGCTTAGGGTTTGTCTTGGCAGGCTTTTCTCCTGAAGACAAGGAGGATATCTTCAGGAGATACCTTCTCCTGAAGATATTCTTTTGCCCAGAATATGCCAGATAGTCAGGATCATAAGCAAGTAAAGTCCTAATCATGTTTACAAACACTAGACTTCAAAAGTGCTTGAGGGTAACTGTGTAGTATTGTAGAATACAAGTGCTCTTATAGATTATTTCCTCAAACAAGGTAAATTTTTAATTTACAATTCGTTTATTGGCTGCAACTGAAGCATCAGATTCCTAAGCCTCTTTGAGAACTGTTCTGTTTCCCCCAAAACCCTATGCTTCCTATATTCACATCCTTTTTCAAAAAGTCGGAGTAACATCTGCTTATAAATGCCTGCAACAATGGAGACAACAGGTTGCTATGCACCTGTTAATTTTAGTAAAGCTGCAGTTGGTTGGAGTAAGATTGTAGGCTTGGAGGTATATCAATAAGTTGATTCCAAATATTGCCCCCGCCCCAAGTTCTGCTTCATCTTTGAGGGATCCTATATCACCGTGGCCCTTTACTCTTTACCACCTGCTAAGCATAGTGGTCATTAAGATAGTCTCAGGGCTGAAATTGGCTGCATATGCACAGAATGGTGCACAGTAGGTCAAAAATGTGGTCCTCCCTCTTGAAGGTTAGGGCATCCTTGAGGCTCGGATGCGCTTGCATCCTATGACTGTGATGGCTAGACATCCAGTAAAGGATTTACACTTGATTCAGGCATCCATGTGTCACAAAATTAAGGTATTCTTAATTTGATAAAACTGAAATCCACACCGATAGCTTTGATAAAACTCCCTTACGAAGCTAAGAGCACTGCCCTTATTATGCTGTACTGAAGTTCTGTTGGGACATCTCCAAAAATGCCAGAAACATGCCTCATTCCTTGTCGAGCAGACTTTACGCTAAGTGACTCAGTTTTGCACAGCATAATTGCAAGTCAGTGCAAGCCTAATTTATGCGCTGGAACTGACGTGTGCAGTTGTGTTTGAAGTGGGGGTTGAAAAGACACCCATTTCCCCCTCACCTGAAAAACAGTAGGCTGAAGCATATGCACTTCCTTCTGGTGCAGAGAAATATTCCAGACCCTGTGCAGGCACTAATCTTGACCAGGTACAGGGGCTGGGGTCCAGGGAAAGTTTGTGATGTTGGCACATGGCCTCTGAGCCCAAGTGCTTGAGCCCTTCATTACACCTGAAGCAATTTCTGGGAGCAGAATTTAAACCATGGTGGTATTTTCATGGGTACCTGCTCGTTCGGGATAAGCAGCATATCACCTTAACCATTAGCTCAAGCTACTGAAGTGCATTTTATCAAGTCAGTCTATGGAGCATAAATGCTTTACCTAATTCAGGACAACTAATTTTAAATGGCAAAGGAAAGGCAACATTTTACAGGGGCCAGAGGGTGGAGGTGGGAACTGTGCTTTACATGGCAGGGTGAAAATGATATCTGAGGTGCTCTTAAGTAGTCCACTGACAGCTTCTGGAAATAGGAGTTGGTTTAAATGATACAACATTGATGTGGATTCATGTTTCCTTTCTAAAAATGTTAATATACAGTTACAAAGTCTTGGCTATGACAAATTATGAACCTTTATGTAAATGCATTCACCCTGTAGTAGCTTGCTTGGTAAATACATGTGCTTATGTTCTTGCACCTTATTTCTAAGAATGACACTTAAAGGTAAGTATAGAGGGTCTCCCCCCCCCCCCTCACCCAGGATGTGTATAGAGAACTGTCCATATACTTATGGTGGTAACTGTTCTCCAACCATTTACTCTTAAAAATAAGTTCTTGATTTCCATGGAGTAACCGCTTAAAATGGTCTGGAACTTCAGTTACAACTTTCCAGGATCCTTGCATTATTTAGCACCTACCCTGAAATCAAGTTTTTAAATAAAGAGTGCCATAATGGAGTATGTTAGTATGTCGAAGCTTTTCTGACAGAAAGCCCCCTGCCCGCCCGCTCGTGATGTCCAGAGCTGCCTCTTCCATTGCACTGCACGGCTTCCTTGCTGGCTTTATTTCGTGTGTGTGAAGTGCCAGAATCTTGTGGGTTGGGGAAGGGTGCAGTAGAGCTGTGTGTCTGAGACCGTTCTTGACCGTTCACTCTTGTGCACAAATTACCTGAGGAGCCTTTAATTAATAAAAGCAGCGTTTCCACTTGTGGGGTTTAGCTATTGTAGCTGGGTCTTTGTCTTTTTTAACTCAATCTCAAATAATAGGGCTCTGGTTATTTTGCAGAATGTCTCTGAAGAATGGACAGCATTGCCATGGCTAACTGCAAGCTACAGTTCACAGTGGACAAACGTTGTAGTTTTTCTATTTACTTTTATAAATTTTTATTTTATATACTTTGTAGTTTTCAATCAGTCCTGTATGATTGTTAATTACGGATGCAGTTTTTAAAAGATTATTTAATAGTGTATAGTAAAAAAAAACATGTTAGTGTTTATTTTCTTCCATAATGCAACCATTTCTGAAAATGTCAATTTCTCAAAATTTACAGCTGCCCAAGTCCAAAAAGGGGGTAACGAATTGACCTGAGAAAATTAAAGAATTCAGTTAACAGGCGACGTATGCCTTTTAATTCCTATTTTTTCATTTTTTCTATTTTCTATTTCTAATAAGTAGGTAGAATGTGTTGGCCAATAGTAAGTTTATAAATTGCATGGTTAAAGAGAGCCGGTCGCTAATATGCTAGTCAGCTACATGCCCTCAGTTATTCCTTTGAATAGCTGCTTTGACCATGCCTAGTGCTTTTAACAGTATGTAAGAGCATTTTGAACTGTGAACCAACGATTGTAAAATACTTATTTTTAAAAGCTATTGATTTTGCATGTTTACACAATTAAGTTTAATTTTTGCTATCATGTGATAAAACCTTAGTAAAAGGGAGAATTGCTTTGACTATAATTGCTGGTACATTTAAGAAGTTCATTTTGTTAAAGGAGAAACATGAGAAGTGAGCTGCGTGTGAGACATTTTCACTTGGATTTTGTTCCATTCATGTTTAACTGGACTTCTCTTTCCTTTTTAGGGATGCTCGGGTTGTTAAAGATATGGCAACAGGGAAGTCTAAAGGATACGGTTTTGTGTCTTTCTTCAATAAATGGGTGAGTGGCTGCAGGCTTACTTCTCCGGCTGACTTTGTTCATGTGACCTGACACCTGCCCGCCATGGGTGGCCGTGTTGCCCAGATCCAGACTGCTCCTCGCCGGGTGGCTTGCTCTCTGCCCGTAGGCCCCCCTGACACCCCTTGGCTGTTCTAGGGCTTCTTCAGGTCACGATGGGTGGTCGGGTCATCTGTGCCTGGGAGAGCCATTTCATCATGGGCTGCGCAGCTGGTAAGCAGCTTGGCAAGGGTGGCAGCGCCACTTTCTGGACTAGCCGGAGACGTGGAAGTAGCGAAACGGTGGAAGAGGGCACCAGCAGCAGCCAGTTCAGCACTTGCAGTCGAGAAGGTTGCATGGCTGCGTGGGCAGGATTCTGTGCCCCCCCCCCCCCCGCTGCACCTGCTTTCACCACTCTTTTCCCCCTTGACAATGTAGCGGTTGGTCCCTGGCAGCTTGGTACAAATTAACCTGTACGTAGTCACACTTTGCCAGTTTACACACACACAACCTATTCCGCTTCCCTGCTCCCTTTGAAAGCTGAAACAATTAAGAAGTTTGACCAGGCAAGACTAAGCATATTGGGCAGCCATAAGAGAGCACTTGGGTGACTTTTTAGAAGATGAAAAGAAAAAATGCAATCCCAGTTGTGTTTTTGAGGCTCTGGAATCCATCTTGCCCACCCTGGTGTTGAACAACATGAGGTAGCGATTGGAAAGGGGAGGGGAAGATAGGGTTCTGGCATGAAGAACACTGGGATACATCTTGGAGGGCTGGATGGGGAGAACAGGCCACAGTTCACGAGTAGCCAACCCACCGTGGCTTAAGTGTGACATGCAAACCCTTCCAAACTCTTTTCACAATTGATAGGTCTTCATTGTCAGAGTTAAGCCATTCTTGCAAAACAGCATGGAATTCTTCATCAATTACTCTCAATTTTTATAATGCAACATGGAATTCTTCATCAGGATATAAAACATATGCACTGCCTAGTCGTGCTTCATATAATTAAAAATAAAAACGCATGCCCTATGTTCAGGTTATGATCTAAAGGACAAAACTGGCAAAAGCAGGGAGTGTTGTTAAAACTGAAGGAGAAAGGGCAGCTTGATGCCAGACAAGGCATTCTCAGTGGGTTTCTGCATCCTGTTCTGCACACTTGGTTGGCATTTATTTTTATTATATTTTTATCAGACTTTTTTCTTCAAGGAACTCAGGGTGGCTTACCTAATCCTTCTCTGCACAATCTTATCCTCGCAACAGTCCTGTGAGGTAGATACGGCTGAGAATGAGTGACTGGCCCAAAGTCAACCAGTGAGGTGTGTGGCTGAGTGGGGACTAGAACACGGAATGCCTGGATCCTACTGCCACACCTCGCCCACTGCACTGCACTGGCTCTCTGCACTCTGCCAGCTCCCTGCAGAGCAGGGAGGGAAGCCACAGAGCCTGTGAGAAGGGCCAGCGCAACTTCCGCTTTTTCCTGCCTTCAGGGCAAAACTGACAAAAGAGCTGCAAGCAGAGCAGTTATCCTCAGGTGCGAGAGAGTATTAATGGATGGGCAGGGCATCTTGCACATTGGCTCAAGAGGAGTTTAGTTTGGCCTTGTCCCGGCCTGACATCCCAGATTCCTGACTATTGTCTGTACTCTCTGGAACTCAAGGGACTTGATGTCCCAAATATCTGCAGGGCATCATGATGTGGGAGGTTGGCTTTGGTTACTAGCACTAGTTGTGCCTTATAGCAGCTGGTAGATTTCTGTAACGGGAAACACCCTGATCTAAAATAATTTCCCCATGTGTAGATTTTTTTATATGTAGCACCATGGATAGGTTGTGTATTTAACAAATAAAATGGCATTTTAATTTTGTTTTTACTTGGAGGTGGAGTCAGATTTATCCTGCAAGTCCTCCCCAGCGCTGCTTGCATATTAACCTGAAATGGGAATGGATGCTGTTGACCTGTTTCATCCTCCTAAAGAGGCCCTATCTCTCAGAGCTTCATGAGTGCACCTTCTCAGTGACAGTGGTGTACAATTTGCAGCAGCCTCAGATGGTTATGGCAGTACAGGGCAGGCTTCCCAGATCTCTGCCAAGGCCAGTCCTGGAGAAAGATTGTCATTTATTTTGATCGGCATTTTTTGAGACTGCGCCGTGAGCTGCCCAGAGAGCCTCTGGCTATGGGGCGGCATACAAATGCAATAAATATTAAATATACAGCTTGAGCAGCCTTTGTTCCACATTGGTAGAGTTGCTGTTCTGATACCAGGATGGTTGCTTTTAATGTACTATGCATATCAAGTGCATTAAAACTTTAGCAATTTCCTGCTTAGGGGATTAAAAAAGTCACGAAGGGCATCTGAACGTTAAATGCCCCTTTGCTCCTCTATAAAGTAGGAACATTCTCTTCACAAATGGTGTGGGAAGCAAAACCAGCTGAGCCTCCACTGCTGCTGCACTGTTTCCAGGCTGGCTTCAGTTCCTGAAGTGAGCTGTGCATAGAGAGCATGGCTTGCAGCTGTGCAGTGCAGTGATGCGGGACAGGTCTTGCTTCTGCTGGCTCTTTTGTGAGCCACTCCCAGTGGATATCCCCACACGCCCCAGTCTCTTCCACATACATGAGCTGGGCAAACACATTGAACATGCACAAGGCTGCCCCATGTGTCTCTTTGGGCCCTTTCTGCCCATGGATCTACATGCACACGCCTGCAGTGTTCGTGCAAGCAAAAAAATTAAAGCGCTTGAACCCCAGTTAGAAGACTGGAGCAGTTACCCTTCATTTTTGGGACACTGAGCATGCTACAAATTCTCTCATAATTTTTCACGGCATAGTACCTGTGATATTCCACTCCTTACACTTCCAGATTCATGTTGCCAAGTTTATTTTGTGTGTGTACAGATTCAGAAATGCTGTTTTCAGAATTTTCCAGGTAAAACAGCACCTACCCCCCCCCCTTTTTAAAAGGTAGTTTCTTCTCTACCTTCATTTGCTAGTTTACTGCTCATTTGCATCTTGAGGTACTTTGAGCATATGGGGAAAGATTTGTGGGCAAAAATATTGGTCATAAATGAGTCTTTTCTAAATGGACCTTGAAATAACTGGTGTTCTTTTTCAAGTTTAAGGAAGTATTCAGCTGGCTAGAGCTGGTGTATTTTATGGGCTTTATTTAGTAAAAAGTGACATTAGCAAAGATGTTACTATGAACTAGCATTGTCTGTGGGCTTGGATCTTTACTTTTCTTAAGGAGTTTCTTGCTAACCATTTCTGCACATGTTTTCTTCTCTGGGTAGGATGCAGAAAATGCAATTCAACAGATGGGGGGACAGTGGCTTGGCGGAAGACAAATCAGGACGAACTGGGCAACACGCAAACCTCCAGCTCCAAAGAGTACCTATGAGTGTGAGTATTTTAGCCAGTGCAGCTGGCATCATATGAATGCATTGCTGAATCGCAGTTGGTAGCCTTGCAGCTTTATTTTGGACTAACTGGAGTTTCTAGAACATTTTCAAAGATGATGTTGTTACCAAAGCACAGCGTGCAGGCTTTCTCTGCCCAGGTATGATGCAGCCATCTTGCTCAATTGAGTGTCAGATTATTGGCACTCAGGCAGTCCATTAACCTCTTCAAGCATTGATTCATGACCTGTGCTGCCTCAGCTAAGCTGGATCACCAGGAGAGCTAGTCTTTCTGCATATTGGCAGCTACATCCCTGGATAGCCTTCCCAAATGGCTTCATAGCATGAGGATAAAGTTACGTTTTTGTGTTGCTTCTAGGCCTCGTTGTTCAAAATTAGAGCAGTAATCGTCCACCACATTGTTCAGGGAGCTTCAGCTACTGGGAGCTTCAGCTACTGGGTGGTGTAGATTTTTAAAAAAATGAAATAAGCAGTAATAATCTAGGTAGGAACAGAACCACTGTGACACAGTGCCCCCCTCTCAGATGGCTGATCCAGCAGGTTGTTGTGATCAGTAGCATCAAGAGCTGCGGAGCAGTCCAAGGGAACAAGAGGATCGCACTCCCCTTGACCTCCCAGCAAAGGCAAGCTCTGCTGCAAAAGTGCCCCGAGTTGGCTGGCAATTGCTTGCTTGGGATCCTGTCTGAGAAGAGGTTGTTGGCAATGGGTTTTCTCGTTGTCCTACTTTTCTGGGTCCATGTTTGATTTCTTCTGGGAAGGCTTGCTTATGACTGCTTTCAAGGAAGTTGGAGTAGAAAAGCTGCCGAAAGTCTGAAATCGACAGGTGGTAAACCACCTACACAAAAGGAAAGGTGTAAATCGTGGGTCCCCAAACTACGGCCCAGGGGCCGGATGCGGCCCGCCATGCCCATTTATCCTGCCCGCCAGAGGTTTTGGACTCGCTGGTGGCGAGGCACTGGCTTGCTCGCAAGGAGATCGTTTTGGACTCGTTCGGAGAAAATGACCTCTCCACACGCACGCCCCTGCCTCGCCGTGTGCATGCGCCCCCCCGGCCCACGACCCCCGCCCGCACTGCCTTGACGGCCCGCGCCCATCACCGGCACCTTTCAGCTGACCCCCTGTTCAAAGTTTGAGGATCCCTGATGTAAATTCTCTTCTTTTGGATAGCCATCTTCCTGGCTTACTTGACAACACCAAGTCTGCAGAGTATGGGAACGGCTGTGGGGTCAGGGAGCCCTGAGCCATATCATATTAGACAGTCTTGGATCTGAACAGACTTTTGCTTTAGTGAAACAGGCTTACAGGCAGTCTTGGACTCTAAACCAGTTCCTTCAGGGACAGGTGCAGATGCTCTTTACTGGTAATTGTAAATCTGTAGGGTAGAATGTGCTGTAATCTCCAATGTGCAGTTGGAGAGATGGCCCAATGTTTCTAGCAAATTTCCTTTCTTTGCTGAGCAAATCTGAGACTTCCAAAAACTGTTTTTCCCCCATACAGCAAATGCCAAACAACTTTCTTATGATGATGTTGTAAATCAGTCCAGTCCAAGCAATTGCACTGTGTACTGTGGCGGTGTTACTTCAGGCCTAACAGGTATGAGGCATCATTAACTTTGAAAAACCCTAGAATGGGTTCTGCCTACACATCCTGACGCCATCTCCATTCTTTGGTTTGCAGAACAGCTGATGCGCCAGACGTTTTCCCCGTTTGGGCAGATAATGGAAATTCGGGTCTTCCCAGATAAAGGGTACTCCTTTGTACGGTATGGAAGTGGTTCTCCTTGTGGATGTGGATGTGTGTCACTTAGCTTGTGTTACCGCAGACCTTTGATGTTACGTGGGTGGTGCAGGTGTTGATCTTGAGTTGAGACACAGGGTGTGTTGCAGGCCTGACACGTGCTTATGACTGAACACTAATGAAGGCTTGAATCAAAGACTGTAGGCTTTATTGCAAGAGGTTATTGTAATGAATATTACAAATTAATTGAGGCGTTCATAGAAAAAAGTTGGAGGAAATAGAAAAGAAAGAAGCTTAAAGTACATATACTTTTAATTTTTTAGGGAAAATTGAGTCTTTGGAAGTGGGAACACAGCAACAAAGTGGGGATGGCGAAAATACATAAAGCAATCTTTGTTCACAATGCCACTGATATAAAGCAAAAAAGATTTAACTTTTCTATTTGGACTAATAATATAAGCAACCATATTTCCAGATAAATGTCCCTATAAAGTACATGTCTGTAGGGAGTGCATTCGTATGTATCAAGGACCACAAACTTGCATGTTGTGTGGTGGGTACTCACCCTTCCCTGCATTAGGTATGAAACTTTGTGGCCATCAAGGCTCTCAGAATCCACCTTGGCTGTTTGTCTGCTAATCTCCACATCATGCAGGTGTAATTTAAAGTCCTTGGACATCCATAGTTGCCACAGGTTTTTCAAGAAAATAATTTATCTGAGCAGTGCCTTCTAACTGAAGGGAAGTTACTACTGGACAAGCTCCCATCATACCCCTTGAAGGTGCATTGTTGGCATTATCTCTGCAACACCTATCAGAATTAGCCAACTTCTTAACAAGTCTCTGCACTGTCCAGTATATGTGAAAGCTCCATTTTAAATCTACAGAAAGAGAATGTATAGAAGCTAAGTCAATCTTTTGTGGATTAGCTGCAGAAATTGCAGGTGGGGGCCAGCCCTCTCCTCTTCATATGTTTAATCCTAACATCATGCAGGCAGAGCTGCTTTCTGTCCAGATGAGGATGTTAGGATTTAAGACTCCAGAACACTGCCAGACAGTTATTAAAGAAAGCTCATTTCCAGCCATTTGTGTGCATGAGTGGTATGCTGCTCTTTCTGCCAGGAACAGACTTCTGTCCAGTTTAGCTGCTTAAGAAGTGTCTCTAGGCACCAAAGTACGCTGGTGTTTCTGCACTCCAGTAAAATCACCATTTAGCTGCTCTTTGTGTATCCTGATATTCCACGCGTTAATTCAGATGTTAGTATGACAGATAAGTGTACTGAGGCTATACAACAGTCTGAGTAATTTTGGCATAGAAGACCAGCCCTGTGCATACGTCATAAAATGTGCAGATTCTCTACATGGGGATCTTTGAACAGATTCTCCCGTTAAACAACTTGTCAGCTCTCACTGAGGAGAGGGGTTCATGGTGATCGGCTGTCTTGAACGGTTGCAGGTTCAATTCTCATGAAAGTGCTGCGCATGCAATTGTTTCCGTCAATGGCACCACTATAGAAGGGCATGTCGTGAAATGTTATTGGGGCAAAGAAACGCCAGATATGATCAATCCTATCCAACAGGTAAGAGACCTTTGTCAACACAAAAACAGACAGACAAGCACTGCAAAACACTAGTGCTTACAAACAGAGTGTGCATCCTTCTGTTTGCTTTATAGGCATTTTGTTGAAGAAGTTGCGCAATGTCGCATATGGCAACAAACCGTGAAACATAGAAAACTGATAGGGGCCGGCCTTCCCCAAGGCGCCATTTAGCTTTTGTGTTTTGGGCTTCTGTTTGTGCGGCAGCCGCCAGAGCTGAGCAGGGGATGGGGCTGCACGTGTCCTTTTAGGCGCAGCGTGAAGCAGATTTAATTCTGCATTGCTCAGTAGTGCTGCTGGTCAGTTTCTCTGTCAGGCCCCGGTCAAGTGGCAGAGTCCACTCGGGTACATTTGCTGGTGTGGCTACTTAAAGCCAAGTTAGCAGCTAGGCTAAGGAAGCAGCCTGTCTGAGGCCACTGTCAAGGCAACGGGGCTTGGTGGGACGGACCCAGTAACCTGGCTGTGATGCAGTTCCACGTGGAGCTGATGGCCTGTTCTTGGAGCTGTGCAGGGATGTATACGTTGAATAGTGTGGTGAGATGAAACACATACCGATCCCTTGACTTGGAATGCCCAGATGCAGAGGTTCTGATCTGTGTGCCCTTTGGGGGATTTGAGAACCTGCTGTGGGCATCACCACAAGAAGGGGAAAAGGGAGTGCAAAGAGCAGAAACAGCATGGCTGGGGGGGGCGGGGGGAGATGGTGGCAGGTAGAAGGAAGGAAGCTAGAACTGACAGGAAAGATACTGCCCTGCCTTTTTCGGTTTGGTGATGGTGACAGGGATTGGGGAGGCTTGTGGGCACTCTTTGAGGTGCTTTGTGGTTCCCACAGGCATTGTATTGGGGACCCAGCCCTCATGGACATTGTAGTATGAACCCAGTTCTTCACCAGCTCTGTGGAGCTGATTGGCAGGAAGAGTCTGCAGCTAAGCGAACAGTTGGGTGGGAACAGATTCTTCTGGACTGCTCTTGCACTTGGGTCAGGAAGTGCTTCTCTCCTCACCCTTGGGCATTTTTCAGCATTCTTTGGCTTTGCCCTTATCGTCTCTAAATATTAATCTACCTTCCTTCTTCATGGCTTCCCCTCACAAACACGTGCCCTTCATTCTTTGCCTTAAAAAAATCTACAAAATATATTCCTGCTCTTTTCTCTCTCTTCCTCCTCATTACACCCACTACTGAGTTGCTTTTCATCTCACTGCTTCTCCACCTTCCCCGCCTGCCACAGTGGCTTCAAGGGGTACCTGCTGTGCATGAGAAACAAAGAAGTCTAGTTGAGCTGCCACGATGTTTGCAATGCACACTGTCGATTCCTTGTCTCTCTTTAAAGCAGAACCAAGTGGGATATCCCCCACCCTATGGGCAGTGGGGCCAGTGGTATGGAAATGCCCAGCAGATTGGCCAGTACATGCCTGATGGCTGGCATGTCCCTGCATACGGAATGTATGGACAGGCGTGGAATCAGGGATTTAAGTAAGTATCTGCTGTATGAAGTATCTGTGCTAAGAAACCTCTTCATGATGAAAACCCCTGCCCGAGTACAAACCGAGCCTTCTGTCAGTCGGGATTTCTTTCAGAGAATTTTGTTGCATGGGATTCTGGGATTGCATGCGTGACCTTGCTAAGTATGGAACCTTTTGATCGGGAGTGCTGTCGATAGCCTTAAGGAAACTAGTGGATATCCAGCAAAAGGCTCTCTATATACTTCAAAGAACCTTACGTATCTGCTATTCCCTTGGACCTGATTTATGTAGTTCTGTGATACAAGAAACATCTGATTGGACATTCTTAATCACCTTGACTCCAGTTCATTGTGTTTAAATGTTTCAAGCTTTAGCTAATCTCATTTTCTCTTCCATTTAGTCAGACGCAATCTTCTGCAGCATGGATGGGTGCAAATTACGGCGTACCGCCGCCTCCGCCGCCACCCCCGCCTCCACCCCAGGGGCAAAATGGAAGTGTACTAACGAGTCAAACTGGATATCGGATGGCAGGTTTTGAAACTCAGTGAGAGAAACACAGAAGGACTCTGGAATAGAACAACTGGCGGCTTTGAGGCTAAATGGAGCGTTGTAAATCCCTTTGTTTACTTTAAAAAATCTATCCAATCAAGTCAGTGCAAAAGTCAAACAGTATTTATTTTTAATCATGAAATTTGTTGTCCACATTTTTTTAAAAAGACACACACACAGGAAATACTAGATGCTGGATATCTGCCAACTTTTGCCTTCTTTTCCTCTTTTAAGATGTGTTTCTTAAGATCCTTGTTTGAAACACAACTAATGCAGGGATTTCTGCCACTTTTAGATTGGGGCAGAAAATTGCACAATGTCAAAACTTTTTTTTCCACGGAAGTAGTGTGCAGTTCTAGTTTGCATTCCTAGTATGACTCAAAATGTATATGAAAGAAGTTGTACAAAAGAAGAAAAAAACCACGCCAAAACTGTGTGAATTCTGAAGGTTTGTTGTGATCTTCAGTGTGTGCACAATTCTGTTTTAAAGAGAGCCTATTGTATAAAGTGTCCATCTCCTCACTTTTGTTATACTGGGGCTTCAAATATAACTTATTGGTTTACATTATTTTGTATCTAGACATTTTTCAAAAAGTGTTTTTGCCTTACTGTCAGCTATTAAATTATTAAACGGGAGTGGCGGTGGGGAAGTCATAATTGACAAAAGTAGTTGTACAGAGCTCCTGGATCCAACTCTTCATGTTGTTGCTATTGTTAGGTGTGAGAAGGTGCCTGGGAAGTCCCTGCTGAATTTGCTCAATGATCTTTATCTTCATTGATGAACTTCAGCCCAGTTTCAAATATTAAAAATGTGACACATTCTTACAAACCAGCTTTTTTAAATCTGTCAGTTTTTACATTTACATGTATCCTTTATCATGTAAACTATTTTAGCAAATTAATATTTTTCACAAAAGTTGGTCAGTTTTTGTATGTCTCCTTTTTTGAAAGGGTAAGAGGCAGAGAGATTTGAGTACGATTTAGGCTTTGGCTTTTGCATGTGAATATCAAATACATTGTTAGACTTTGAATAAACAGTCATGCACTCATTTTTCAGAGACATGTAGAGAATCCATTGGTCTTAACTGTTAGCAATGTTTTGCTCAAGTGGAGTAAGTTGGACTTGAATTAGCATGTACAGGTAGAGCTGTGAAATCATGTAGCATTATGTGAATCAGGCCAGGAGTATGCGGAATGCACCCATTCAGCCTGAAGGACCAGCTCGATAAAGCAGTTTGAATTGTTCAGAGGCCAAAAAATCTTGCTATCCTACCTCCTTAACTAGCCTTCAGAGAGTGCAAAAAAGAAAACTACCCCTAGATGTAGTATTTATTTATCCCTGTTAATGTCTGGGCATGTGGAGGTCTTGGTTTTTTGTTTTGCATTGGTTGTAGTGGAGCAATTTGGGATTTTTGAGTTTACGCTATACAAAGCGTCCTGTGACAACATATTTTATGGAAAGAAGTGGTCCCTTGAGAGAGTAGAACTAGTTTAGCTTTGGAAGTGTTGGTTCTGTTTGTCTCTATTTTGACCCCTTATTTTCTTTGAGGATTTTTTTTTAATTTTCTTTGGGCGGGGAGGGTTAGGAAGCTGTTCTAAAATAGGAAAGCTTGCTGTGGAATCTTATTTTGCAGTGGGCAGGGTAGAAGAAAAGACAAAGTTTACAGTGAGAAAACCGCGTTATCCTTGACTATGTTGACCACTGACATTCTGTAAAGTAAGTTAAGCCATGGTTTGAAATTCCAGGGAGCAGGTCAGTGCAGTTCTGTTAACAACATGGCGGTTGAAAAAGCCTGTTGCTGCCTGTAGACAGTGTTTGGCCCCCAAATAATAAGGCATCCCCAAAAGACACCTTTAATGCCATAGGTTTTCCCATTTATATACCCATGCTGCTTCTTAAATTCAGGGTGGGAGGATCTTATTTCTGTTTACCACCTCTGCCTGTAAATTTCTTTCAAAAGAGGACATGAATAGGTTTGAGGTGAGTCTGGTGCCGCATTGACTTTTCTGTGTGTATTCTCAGCAGTAGAACTGCCTAGGTTTAGTCTATTTAAATTACTTTCACTAAAACAATCTGAGATCCTATTACCCAGGGTTTTTTTTAAAGGTTTTTTATATCTTGTCATTGCCAGGGTTTCCCTCTCTGTTTGGACACCCAGGAAGAAATGAAGGTCAGTTGACCATAAATAGTTAAAGCTTTGATACATTTCAAAATCAGGAAGTCTTTGAAGGGGGAAGGCAAAGAGGAGAAAGTAACAGCTTTTCAGTATTATTTAAGAAGCTTGAACCATCTTAAAGCTTCTCAATTAGGCTTCAGAGTATGAGAAATACATGGATGGAGCTCTGTAAGCTCTGCACTTTTTATTATGAAGGTTGTTCTTTTTGTTACCCTGCTGGAGGTCGCGCTTGACTTCTGCTACATGAGCCAGAGCAAAAGCTTCCCAAATTCTAGCTTTATTGGGGTTTCCTTCCTTTGCTGTAACTTGTCCACAGTAGCCAGAAAATAAAATAGGCTAACAATCACTTGAGCCTATTTCTTCTTACTTGTTACCCTTTTCCCTGCTTTTAGTTTTAAGCATCTGCCAGGCCTTTCAAGTTAAAAAGGGAGCTTTCTTAATATGAGAGATGTAAACACCTTTACAGGTCTCAGTGAAGGAGGTTGCTGCCTGGGGAGTTTGGTTTGGTTTTCAGCTAGCAGCCCATTTTTGTGTCTGTATAAACATTGAAAGCTTCATTTGAACTAATGTATTTTGATACTTGTGTTTTGAAGTTCAAAAACTTCACTCCAGAAGCCGTGACTTTTGAAAGCCATTAAGATGTTAATAAAAGATGTGAGCTTGCATATTTCATCCTTTTGTTTACTGTTCACATTCCAGCATAGGTTTGAGAGAGAAATTGCAGAAGAAATTGCATCTAGAACTGAAGGAGGCCTGATGCGTTGCCAAGCCTAAATCTACTGACTAAATCTAGGAGTCCTCCACAAGTAATATTTCATCTCGTGTGATGAAAGTCTCAGAATGGATGGTTAGGAAGAGCACATAGTTTCTTGGATATAGTTATCATAAACCAGCTTTCCATCATCTGTGCAATAGTGATGCACTCTTTGTTGTGCTTGTCCACTGTCTGGATTCACAGGGCAAGCTTGGCTTGTGTGACAAGTTGAGGGAAGCCCACCAGGCACGCCATAGACGAGTGGGGAGTCGCGGAGTCATAGAAAAAGGGCTGTTCTAACAGAGTCTTCCCTTGCTGCCATGGAAGTTCGTTGTGGTTGCTTGAATACAGCAGGTCACTTTGAGCCCCTTCCTCCCAAAGGAGTCATGCCTGCCGCCACCCTTTCCAGAGCAGTTGTTGCCCCTCTTCTCTGTGGACCCCCCAGGAGGATGCAGGCAGCCCGACCCTTTGGAGAGGGTGGAATTGGCGCAAAGCTGCCCCATGTTGCCTGAGCCCTTCAGTGCTGCTGGAAAAGGGCTCGCTGTGGGCAGGCTGAGCAGCTCCAGACCTGGCTTGGCTTGGCTGGCAGCCCCTGTCATTCTGCAGCATGGGCTCTGAGCTGGGGTGGACGGCAGGGAACAGCTGGCTGGGCTTCACAGCCAGAAGGTAGCAGCACGTACCGGGAAGGCACCTGGAGCTCTGCGGGAAGCCGCAGCTTCTGCTTGCAAGCCGGCTTAGGACCTCTGAACTCGCATGAACGAGGCTGCCTCTCTCAGCGAGCCCTACCCCACGCGCCACCCAAGGCGCGGTGGGCACCAGTTTGGATGGGTTTCAAAGCCGACCGCCCCGGCGCGTGCAGGCAGGCTCTGGCACCCCCAGCATCACAGGCAGGGCTTCGGGTACCCCAGGCGGCGCGTGGACGGGGTGCGGGGCCCGCAGCGCTACTCCGTGCTCGCCTGTGGCTCCTGCCCTTTTGCAAGGGACGGGGCGGGACGCGCAGGTAGGAGTGCGCATGCGCGGGAGCTGACCTGGCCCAGGACTCCGTTTCCCGGCGTGCTGTGGGGGTCTGCGCCGCGTGCTCCTGTCCGGCGAATGGGAGCGACCGTTACAGAGCAGTTCCGCAAGTTGTTTGTAAGGCGCCATAGCGGAGGCTGCTCGCCGACGCCCCTCACCGGCTGCCGGGCTGGAACCCGAGCCCGCCGAGGCCGCCCAGGTAAAGGCGACGCTGCGGGGCCCCAGGCTGGAGGGAAGGGGAGGGCTTCTGCCTGAGACCTGCGGCGGGGTGGGGGAGCGGCAGGAAATGACGTCAGACAGGAGGGCGCCCCCTTGGCTAGAGCGGGCCTCCCCACCGTGGGGGTTGCGATGGCAACAGCGGGCACGAGGCGGGTGTCGCTGTGTGACGTCATCGTCTCACGTCATCGGGCTGTGGGTCATGACGCCACGTCGGCATGGGCCCCGCGTGGCTGTGAGTGACGTGTCTTACTCCCCGGCGCCCCTTCTCAGCCCCCCTATTTGGGAGAGCCGGACGCCTCTGACCACGTGCAGAGTTCCTCCTGAGAAGCAGTGCTCTTTTTAAAAAACAGTAGCCATGGGCGCAGTCGCCCCGAGCATGTGCAAAGCGCCTTTCTTCCATGACGGGGACTCTTTCTTGCCCATCTGCGTGGAGACTGGCCAGGTGAGTGTCCCACGGCGGCGTCCGGCCGGGCCGGCGGCCTGCCGAGTGGCCGAAACTGCGAGGCCGACGTGCCCGGCGGCAGCGCTCGCCCGGCGGCGGCACATGCAGCCCCCCCGGGGCTTGGCCTCCCGCCGCGCGGCCAGCTGGCCAGACGCACGCGGGCCGGCCCTGAAGGCGGCTGCCCGCCCGCGGCCCCGTCGTGTGAGCGCCCGCCCGTCCCGGGGGTCCCGCTTGCCCTCCGCGTGCTCGGCAGCGACGCCTCGAGCCGCCGCTGCTCGCGGGCCCTCGCCTCCCGACGCCGCGTGCGGACGACGAGACGCCGGCGCCGGGCGGGCCGCTCCGTCCGGCGGGCGTGCTCCGGGTGCG